AGCAGACTAGTGGATTTGTTGCCAATCTAGAGAAACTTAGCTTCGCAACAACAAAGATAACGCCTTCATTTATTATTGCCAATTAAATCGTGCTTAATCGTTCTGGAATTTTTTCGAGGAAATAAGTGTTTAAGATTTACTTCGTAATTTTTAATATAGATATTTTGAGTTTTTATGTATTTTTGCCCTCTCGCGAAGTGAGAACTAAATTAATTGAATTAGAAATACTCGTCTCTGAAAAACTGTTTCTTTTTTGTTTTGTTTGCTTAATTTCTTTTATACATCGTTCTAGCTTTATTATGGTATTTGAATAGAACATGTGGCAACGATTAGATAATTCTATTCTTTAAATGATATAAATTTTGTGCATTATGAGTTATAATATGAACGAAATATAATACTGTTAAGTGAATCTAGCACCAGAGTGTCGCTATGGTAAACAAATACAGAGTGAATTTTAAAGAATGCATTTATTCTATTGTGGCTTATGCGCTGTCGGAGAAGTAGATTTAATTCAATCCAATAAATTTAAATGAAATGCAAGAAAAAATGCGTATAATTTAATAGTCCGTACAAGGAAGTCATGTGGTGTATACATCAGATTTTTTTCATTGTAGACGAGAGGGGAAAAAGTCATCGTTTGTTATTTCAAATATCTTAACAAAGTGCGTGTTATCTTTTGGCTTTATTATTGCTCAAAAAAAGATGCCAAATTTCAAAGCGCTCCAATATGTAAATTCATGTATTTCTTAGAAAATTTTGAATAAAAAACTCTAATTTTTTTCAGATGAGGCCAAGAAATACATCTACTTTAAGATGATGTTAAAAATTTTATAAGTTATAAATACAATTTTTTTTTCCGAAAACTTTATAAAAAAATTTAAAAATATAAATTTTAAAATAAGTCCTTAAAATGTGCGAATATATTTGGATTAGCCATAATTTCTGATTCTGGAATAAGGAATCAAATAAGTTTAATAAAAAAAAGAGGTATTAATAAATATATATCATATTCAATTAACATTAAAGAGCTAAAATTTTGAGAGCTAATTTTTTAAAAACTATTCATGCGATTTTTACAAAACTTGGCAATTTGGTATAATTTCAGTCGTTTCTACGACTCAAATTCGAAATATAGAAAAAATTGGCATGCCATTTCAGAAAAAGTCCAATTTTGTGTCAGAATACATGCATTAGAACAATGCTATACAAATCTAATACATATCCTAAGTCGTGCTTTCGAGACATGAAAAACGGAACAACGCATTTTGAATTTCGTCAATTGATCTAGTAAGAACGGGAGATATCGACCATTCGTTTTTTTTTTTTTTTTTTTTTTTTTTTTTTTTTTTTTTTTTTTTTCGCAGCGTACATTCAGAGATTGTTAGTAGAAAATTATTAAATTTATATCATTTGTAAGTTTCATTTCTCTTGCTTTAAGGAATTTTATTTTTCTCTCATTTGCAGGTTTATGAAACAGAAATAATTTAATTTTTTCAATATTTCTATAGCTTCTATACTTAGTTAAAGAAATTATGTGAAGTCTTCTTCTAAGCTTAAGTTAAAAATTCATTAAAAAGCAAAATAAAGCATTAATTTTTTCCCCACGTGTTCGGACATTAATTTATGCTATTATGTTACAACATTCGATCATTATTATGAAGAAAATGTGTTCAACTTTAAAATAAATACAAAAATTTAAAATAAATTTAAAATAAATACAAATTAATAATAAATAAATAAATACAATAATAAATAATAATTATAATAAATGCAAAAATTTTAAATAAATTTAAAATAAATGTAAAATAAAAATTTATCATTATTATTATTTTATTATTATCATCGCTATCATCCTCATTAATAAATTCAAAGTTTATTTTAATCTTTAGCTTTTCAACTAATCCATTACGACTATTAAAGATGACACAAAACTAAAATTTTCATAAAATTAGCTAGAATTATACCGCCAGAAAAAAGCTGAGTTATACCGCTAGAAAAGTTAGTTCATACAAGCCTTATTTTTATTTGACCGTATGTAATCGTCAAAACTTTTTGATTCTCCGTGGAAAAATATACCTTTATCTTTGGGGTGTCCCCCATTTCCATTATAAAAGTCATTAATATAATAGTAAATGTTGCTCATCACAGTTTTCCATTTCTGTACATGAGTAAAGTGAATGTGTATTGCTTAGCAAAGTTTCCAGCATTAACAACGAAGAAAAGTAGATTCTATGTTTTTGCAGAAAATGATAATTATTGTGCAGAAAATTCGATTAATTTTACGACATCTAGGGGTTAGTGATAGAATGTTCTAAGTGACATTTTCAGGAAGATTCATGTTATCTCATTTGATATATAACTTGTGAATGGTTTCAGCTTCCATTTCAGTTATTTTACTTTCAGTTATTATTTCAGTTCGTCTAATTTCTAATTCTTAGTATACATTATATATAGAATATATTACCTTTTTAGTTAAGAGTTTGCAGAAAACACCTGCAAGTCTGTTCTATTCAAAATAAAAATTTAAAAAAAAAATAAATAAAATAAACACCTCAAATTTTTCTACGAGGTAACATCTATCGGAACATAGACACTTGGTCCAACGCTTTTTGCATATCTAGAGGCAATAGAAGAATGTGTCATTTGGTGTTTGTCGTAGATACTATTAGGTATTTTGTGCATAGATAAATGATTTTAGTGCAATTATATGTAGAATTGTTGATAATTTTCTGTGTAATGTAACACGAAAACATCTAGAGAGACAGGCTATGCCAAAAAAGTAGGAATACAGGGGCAAGTCCATTTAACATTGGGTAAATGGGTACAGTGGATGGGCAAAAATATGGAAACACCTTGTGAAATGCATGTTTGAAAAGAAAGATTGATTTTAATGAAATATGTAGGTGGCGCTGGCGTTTTTGACTACTGACGCCACCTATACAACTTCGTAAATGTGCTAAATAGTTCAGTTGTTGTCGGAGTACTGTTATGTGAGGTTGTCATTGCATTATGTCAGAGTTAACAGACTTCGAACATGGGCAAATGGTAGGTGCTTCCGTAAGCAAAGTAGCCGAGGTGTTTAGTGTTTCAAGAGGTACTGTATCGAGATTTATTCCGCATATATTTGTGAAAAGCGGAAAAACATCATCTGCTAAATACAGCGCGCGGACGAAAGTGTGTCCTGAGTGATCGTGACAGACGATCATTAAGGGCAATTGTGACGAAAAATAAGAAGACCCACAGCTGCAAAGTTACTGCTGAAATGAATGTTGTGTTACCGAAACCTGTGAGTACCAAACAATTAGAAGGGAGCTTCATAAACAGGAATTGCTGGCCGTGCTGCAATTGAGAAGCCATTCATCAGTGATGCTAATGCCCGTAAACAGGAAAAGTGGTGGTTTAAGTCATAAAACTTGGAATACAGAGCAGTGGAAGCGAGTAAATATGGTCGACGAGTCTTCTTTCACATTGTTTCCTACTTCTGGCCGAGTTTACGTCTGGAGAACGCCATCTCAAGCCTATAATACAGACTGCTTGTTGCCAAGAGTGAAACATGGCGGGGGTTCTGTTATGGTTTGGGCAGCCATATCGTGTTTCTCTGCTAGCCCCATGATAACTGTGTCAGGGCACATGACTGCCAAGACTTATGTGAACATTTTGGCCGATCAAGTTCATCCCATGGTACAAACTTTGTTCCCCGATGGTGATGGTGTCTTCCAACACGACAAAGCCCCTGTTCACACAGCTCACATTGTCCAGGACTGGTTTTATGAGCACGAGGATGAGTTGTCCCATCTCCCCTGGCCACCACAGTCACCAGACCTGAATATTATCGAACCTTTGTGGTCTACATTGGAACGGAAAGTGAGTTCTCGTTATCCACCGCCAACATCGTTATCTGAACTTGTCACCGTTTTGCAGGAAGAATGGTATAATATTCCCTTTGCAATCATACGGAAACTGTATTTATCCATTCCGAGAAGACTGCAAGCTGTTTTGGATGCCAACGGGTTTCCTACACCATATTAAGCAAAGAAACATGTTTTTTTAAAGGAGTTTCCACATTTTTGTCCAACCCCTGTATCTCCGTAATTTGGTGAGATATCGCCAGGCTGGCAACGGTTTCGACGGCTATTTTTTATCGCCAAATTAGGCAAGAAATCACCAAACTTGTCAACATTTTTGGTCCCGTTCCTGTGTCACCGTAATAGGTATTGTAATTCAATAAATGTAATTAGCTATAACAGTAATTCGACCCTCATATTGCCTTTCAGTAATTTCGAGAAGCAGAAAATATTAGAACTATCTCGACGGCTAGGTGAAGGTTATATAAGGTCGGAACGAGCATCTGCTTTCAGTTGTTGCTGTTAGCTGTCACAAAGGAGAACAGACAGAAGTAATGCTCAAGTTATATATAAAAAAAAAAAAAAAATCTTAAATTTTCAATCTTTCTAAACTTTGATAGTGCAGAAATTTACAGATACGCATTATTTTCAAGAAATACAATTTTTTTAAGAGAAACATTTAGGAGTGGATTATACTTAGTTATTGTAACATATCGATATAGTTATAGAAACATATCGATACACTGGAAAAAAAAAAAAAAAAAAAAAAAAAAAAAAAAAAAAAAAAAAAGAACTACTATTCTAAAGTGAAATTTCAAACTACTATCATAAGATTTCTTTTTTCTTCAAATTTTACCAGCAAATACTTTTCTCTTAATATGACAAAATAAAGGATATGCGTAATACAAAGTACGTGTAAAAAGTTTATTTTGATATTCTGCAGATAGTTTAAATAATCGATTTTCCAAATGTTTGAATCGTTTCACTTCTAAATTTTGTATGATTAGTCACTTTTCTTATTCTTAACTGATTCAGTATTTCATTATCTTAATGAGAAATATAATTTTATTGCAATTCGATCAATATGAATAAATGTAGTGTCATTAGCATGTATATTTTGTATTTAAAAAATATGAAAGATAATACATTAAATCAAATTATTCATAATTTTTATTAAAAAGGATTTCATAAATTGAGCTAAAAACAATACAAATATTTCATACACTGAGTGCTGAATTTCTTTAAATTCAAATTAATCTTACTGCTTCAAGTATAGCATCTTATATAAGAAAGGATAAGAGTATGCTGTGTTGCTATATTAGTTGTCAGGTTTTTTTTTAATCACGAATAACAAGCTTACATTTTACTTTCTGATTTTAGAGCACTGTGCTAAGTAAATTAAAAACTTTAAAAACTAATAGGATGTACTTCCATTTTTATATTAGGTTTAACTAACATTTTACAGTATATTTTAAAATATAGGAAAAGTGACATGCTCTGCAGTTTTCAAATTACTCCTTTTCTTTTTAGCTTGATTTTTCACAAATAATTCATTTTTCTGCTCAGTCATAGGAAAAGTTCTTTTAAAAACACTTGGTTGTGTTCCACGCATATTTTTTGCTAAAATTGAAGGCTTTTTTTCACCACTCTATTCCAGGAGGGCATTCCACGTCTGGACAGCAGTCGGGATAGTTTTCTCCTCTTCCTGGTACTAGTCTGCATTCTTTAGGATATCCAATAGCGGAACATCTGCAATGTAATTACGAATGAAACAACACAAATTTCCACCTACCATGGAACAAAAAATTAATACTAGAAATAGTATTAGTCAGTCTTTTTTGGTATATTTCGCCTTAGATGGTTTTCATATTTGAGTTTAAATCTAAAAAAATACTATAATTTTTGACGTAGTGTAAATTTTGTTCATTTCGGGATATATATATTTTAAAGGATTTTAACCGACGAGGAATCACCTCTAAGGGAAGATTTCATGGTTCTGTTCGAATCTCAAGCTGGTAGACTCAAACTGTAACAAACTGCTTACAGCAAAAGCCAGTTAAGGTCTGCGTTGAAATTCGTGAACAAAAAGAGCTGGAAATTAAATATAATAATGTATTTATGTGCACTAATGCTTGCGAAAATTGCAACACCATGAAAGAATTCCGCAAATTGAACCAAACTTACATATGTAAAATGAGATAAAGCATGCAAATGATTAGAATTACAAAGCGATTGCGCATGCATGGAATGAGAACCGGGCCGCTTGTTCCATGTATATAAATGACTGCAAAGTAGTGTTGAAATCTGTTTATCGTTCTCTGTCTGCGGTGAATGTTTAATTAGTGGTCAGTATGCCTCGTCAATAGCAGAGTGTGCCATACCAACAAAATAACGGAATTCGAACGAGGCCGCATCGTCGGCATCCGACAGGGTGGACTTTCGTGTCGAGCAATCGCAGCTCGCACGCAGTGTAATGCCATAACATTGATGCGTGTTTGGAAGAAATGGACAGGAAGGTGAACCAAATAAGGCATTGGGACGCTAAACGGTGCAACAGCACGGAACGAAAGACACCTCATCCGCATGGCTGCGGCGGATCGTACAGCATCCTCTCGTGTGTTAAAACAACGCTGGAGCAAGGCTACAGGTACTGTGTTGCAGGTAACTCCACCGTTCATCGTCGTCTGCTGCAGCGTGAACTGTGTGCAAAGGTTCCTCTTCTCAGGATTTCACTGTCGCTGAATCACAGACAGCTTCGACTTCAATCGCACGGCAACATAGTGCGTGGGGCAAGAATTTGTTTTATCCAATGAATCGCTCCACAGTCTGGATGGGAGAGCACGCGTCAGACGTTACAGAGGAGAATGTCTGATCCCACAGTGTGTTTTCTAGCGTCATGCCACACAAATGCCTGACATTATGGTGTGGGGAACAATCGGATATAATTGCCGATCCCATCTAGTGCAGAGTGCGGACAACCTCAACAGTGATTGCACATTAGAGAAGTTGTAGAGTCAGAGATCCTCCCCATTCTTCGACGCATTCTAAGCGCTCTATTTCAGCAGGATAATGCCTGTGCACATGCTTCTCAGACTGCACAAGCCTTCTTTAGGTCACAACAAATTTCGCTTCTTCCACGGCCTGGTTATTCGTCGAATATGTCGCCCACTAAGCATGTCTGGAATTTCATCGGTCAGCGACTGGCTCGTACAGCTGTGGGGCACAAACTAATACTGAACTTTGGCGCCACATGGAAGGCCATTCCCCAGGCTTACATTCAGAACCTGTATGATCCAATGCCGTGAAATGTACAGGCATTCATTGCGTAACGTGGCGGACACACTAAGTACCAATTTCCGAAGTTCGTTTTGTTTTCTTTCTCTTGTAAATTTGATCGTTTACTTGTACCACTATCAGTAATTTTGAGGAATAACTTTCATTCCTTTACAACAACTCCTTCATGGTGTTGCATTTTCCGCAAACATTAGTTTATTAATAAACATAGAAGTAATAAATATTTATTAAATATTGTGACAGCTTATTTAAGTTTTAGCCAAACAATTAAAGGCTTATACTTCGTTTCGTCATCTACTAACTCAGTCAAGACTGTTAGGCTGATTTTAGGACAAGAGGCATAGTTTGAAGAATCGTAAGCGGCATGATTTGAAGCAGACACTTGGTTGTCGCCGGCGCTGCTGCTTGCTTGTAGACAAAAAAAGCCGCTGATCAGATCAGAATAGGCGTGAACATCTGACATTTGGCACGTTTTGGTATACGTTGAACGTTAGCTCAGATTTTGTTTGTCGGACACGAGTGGTGCTGCAGCTTTGCGCAGAATTACTTGAGTTGTAGCTAATTTATATGTCATTAAATTTCTAGCGAGCTGCTGTAATCAAGAAAACCAAAATTTTGTGTTATATTATTTTAAGCTAAGCTTACTAGCGACGAGGAAATAAAGTTTTAAGTTAACTTTTACATTTTGTATGGTATCTTGCGTCGGTTGTCAGATTAACTAAAGGCGATAATTTGCCGACACGCAGAAGTGACACCTAAGAGTGAGAAATGCTAAAAATAATTAGGTCGTTAAACACCCTTGAATACATAAATACAGTAGTGTCTCATGTAATGAATGTCCCGTATTGTGAGTACACGCGGTGAACTCCAGTTTCATCTCACATTAGTTGTAGGACTGAATTCTGTTTACTTTATATTTGAAAAATGTGTAAATACCCCTTCCCTAAAAAACAATCTGAAGGTAAGATAAACGAAGAAACCAACGGCCAAATAAACATATTTCTTAATATTATATTACCCTTAGCTTTCCTAATAAAGCGAAAATAATAATATAAATAAGCGAAAAATTTAATAAATAATATTTTAATAAATAATTATAATAATTTAAAAATTTTAAAATAATTATAATAATTTAAAATTTTAATAAATAATTTATAATAATTTAAAATTTAATAAATAATTTATAATGAATTTAAAATTTAAATAAATAATTTATAAGGATTTAAAATTTATGAATAATTTATAATAATTTATATTTTAGTAAATGATTTATAATAATAAGCGAAAATTTATTTAAATACTAGGAGGACGACGTCCTGGTCACAGCCAAATAGTGGCAGCCATTCTGATAAGCTAGGATGTTTACTTTGAGCTGGACATGGGACTGTCAAATAACCGTCCCGATGTGTTGACCGTTACGCCATAAGAATACACGCTAGGAGTTTCAGCTATTTGTACAGTTCAACAACAAGTACAATTATACAAACTAAATTTGTATAATTTAATAGTGTGCTGTTTTTGGAAAGAGAAACAAATGAGAATAGGCTAAAGCAAATATACTTAGGAAAGACTTACATATATTTTTGATAGCATTCCATCTAGGCATTAAAAATTAAATCAGTATGAACAGCAGCCTATTCTTAATTGCCTGCAAAAATATGATAAAACTTTCATAAAGTAAGAAATAAAGTAAAACCATCCTGATTTAGAAGGACAGCACTTTAGACAATTTCCCGAATTTTTACTTTCCAAAGAACCAAAAGCTGACATGAATGAAGATAAAGGAGTCTTTCTTCTGCAATGGAAGACTAGGAAAATGAGACTGAACGTATTATAAATCCCTGAAAATGTGTATATACATAAAATAAGTAAATATGTTTATAGTTAACAAATTAATTAAATTTCTAATGTTTCCAATATTGGCAGTATTTTTAGCCTACTCTCAATTTTTTACGTGGTTTTGTGGGTTTGGATCGAGCATTTTAAAATTATTCTCACTGTAATACACCGGAAATGGCGTTGGTTCAGTCCAATTTATGACCATGGGGCTTGATCAGCCAGGAGGGTCGGATTGCACTCTTATTGCACCGGAAACGGCGTCCCGTATAACGATAATGCTACGGCAGAGCGGATTATATACCAAGTCTGTTTCAGCTGTTATGGGTCATCACTTTCATTTATGGCACAACTTTATTATTATATTTATATTTCAACTTCGAGTTTTATCTTGTAGGGTTTATATTTATTTTAACTAACATTTATTTTAAGTTTAAACTATCTTTCCTGTCAAGCCTTACTTTCCCCTGGAATTGCCAATGCCAGAGTATGTAAATTTTAGTAGAACGCGCAAGGATTCAAATTATCAGCGGAAGTATTCTGAGTTAAATAGAAAGGAAACGAGTTCGAAAGGGTGCTTTTTTACTTCACGAGTGTTGAGGTGGCTAGTTAGAAATTGAAGAACCACGCGTTTCGGCCTGTGTGTTTGCCTCGGCAAATTGTTAATCTTTCAACGTAATATTCAGAGTTTGCTGAAGTATCAGCGGTATTTTAGAACGCGGTGAGGTTAGTTACGTTTAGAGAGCCTCGTAGTTAGTCACTTGTTATTATCTCTTTTCAGTTTCTTATTTTTATTTTACCGCCGGGTCGGCGTAGTTTGTGAGCGTCAAGAGCACGCATTTATAATTTCTAAAGTTGAATAAAAAGGGATTTAAACCCTTCTCAAGACTTTGGTCTATTTCCAGTTCTCAGCAGTCACCACTTTGTTGCGTTCAGGTTGGAAGCGCGCAACTTTACAACCTATTATTCCGACGGATCTACATATAAAGAAGAATCGGCAAGTTTACTGCTTTCCACTAGTCTTCAGTCTAGATTAGCGGAAGATTAGATATGCAAGATTAATATGCTTGCCTGTCTAATTTAATAATTTTCTTTTGTGACACCAATTAAATAGTACTCATATTACTCCATCTAATAAAGGAAACACTGAAGGTTTGATTTTGGTTTGGTTTATTCGACTACGGCAAATCACACGATGGCTATCTTCCCAAAGGGAAGGGATGTCTTCGTGGCAGGATTTTCTAAGGGAAACTGGCGAGTAAACACGTGATACATGGGGAAAACTACGAAAACTCCCATGCAGCAACCCGTTCGCCGAGGTTCGAACACCGGCTCGAATTACCAGTGTTCAGATACTTACCGTTGGTGAGCTCCTGAAAGTTTCAAATCATTTGTATCACCTATGTATTTGTTTTTGTATCACCTATACGAGGAAAATAAACGAATACTTGTGAATAAAGGTATAGAATATTAATGGTTGATTATTTGCCCCTAAAATGATACATAGTTCAGGAGAATAAAGACCAAATAAAACATTGATATTTTCTTTATATTTAACTAAATATTTAATACCAAAGATTTTTTTCTGTTACATATTAGAAGAAAATTATCCATCATTACTTTGTAAGTAAGAGAAATCATATGAGGAAACAAGCAAATTTAGCATTTAACCTAATAACTTGAAAAATTAAAACTATTAAAATTCCTCTCTTATATATGTTTAGTTTGAAAACTAAGCATACATAAGGAAACAGTTTTAATTCATACTGTTGCATAAACACGATAAATAAGTAATCCTTTCGAAAAATGATCATATTAAAAAAAATCCTAATAATGTTTAGGTTAAAAGATATTCTTAGCAAGTTTTCCCAAAACCTGTTGGACGTTTTGTTAGGTTGTAAGGATTACGTTAATTTTATTAACAGTTAAATTTTAAGTTCCTTTCCTGTTAAATTCTTAACTTCAACTTACTACTTCCAGCCAGAACGTAGTTTTGGAATCATTCTGAATACTTATTGAGGAGGAGCGGTATTTAAACCGTGAAGTCTACTTGCAGAGTTAGAGAGAATCAGGGTTTCTGATTTGCGCGCGTCTGCCTTTTGGCTACTCTCTCTCTCAAGCTGTTATTACGCTCGGTCGTACTCAGGCCCTTAGAAAGCTTCGTAGTCAAATAGAGTCAAAGGGCCAACTCGATTAGTATCTCGATACCTTCGGCTATATTTCTTTAGTTAATCTTAGTTTAATTTTTAGTCTCTTAAGATCAAGCCCAAGTGTCGGTTTTGATTGTACACTCCAAGGCGGAGTTTTGTTAAATCTGATTGAAATAATAAAGGGTTAGTTACCCTTCCATCTTGTTGTTTCTTGTTACACGAACTTAAGCGATTATTCGCTAACTAGTTCTTAAGATTCGTCACTTTCTACAGTAACTGAGAAATACACTAGTGAGAATCTTACAAGGTTAGCTTATATTACGGTATGATGAACGTACTATCCACTTCGCTTGGTGAGCATCGCCACTAAGCTAAGCTTAAAGATATTTAATGAACGTACTACCCACTTCGTTTGGTGAGTATCGCCACTAAGCTAAGCTTAAAGATATTTAATGAACTTACTATCCACTTCACTTGATGAGTATAGCCACTAAGATATTAATTAAGCTTAAAGATATTTAATGAACGTAATATCCACTTCGCTTGATGAATATCGCCACTAAGCTAAGCTTAAAGGTATTTAATGAACGTACTATCCACTTCGCTTGGTGAGTATCGCCACTAAGCTAAGCTTAAAGATATTTAATGAACGTACTATCCACTTCGCTTGATGAGTGTCGCCACTAAGCTAAGCTTAAAGATATTTAATGAACGTACTATCCACTTCGCTTGGTGAGTATCCCCACTAAGCTAAGGCTAAAGAATATTCTAAGCTAAGCTTAAAGATATTTAATGAACGTACTACCCACTTCGCTTGGTAAGTATATCGCCACTAAGCTAAGCTTAAAGATATTTAATGAACGTACTATCCACTTCGCTTGATGAGTATAGCCACTAAGCTGAGCTTAAAGATATTTAAAGAACGTACTATCCACTTTGCTTGATGAGTATAGCCACTAAGCTAAGCTTAAAGGTATTTAATGAACGTACTATCCACTTCGCTTGGTGAGTATAGCCACTAAGCTAAGCTCATAGATATTTAATTTTCATCCTACGTGTCTCTCCTTCTAAGACTGTTGCTAATCAGCGAGATTTAAGATATTTAATTTATCCTTGTCCTTTCTCATTTGCTCCTCTTTTCCAAGTCCATGCAAATCAGTCTCAAATCAATCCCAAGTCAATCTCTTAAATTTTGCAGATTTAGTTACAACCTTGCAAATAATTAAAATATTCCTCTCATGGTATAACATGAATTTTCATGTTCGTCTCATGATTCTCCTCAATAAAATATTTCTCTTTTGGGATGACGGTCAACACATCGAAACTGTTATTCGATGGTTCCGTGTTCAGCTCAGAGCAAAAACACAGTTTATTTTGATTCATACTTTGCGAATAAAATATTCTAACGACCATTATCTACGACGATTAGGAAAAAGCAATTAGCAGAAAAAAACAAAATTCGTGACAAAATTATTGCTAAATTTAACTCTGTTGGATTTATGTCGTTTACTTAGCAGTAATCAGTAAAAATTATGATAATTTCAAACTTGAATATGTGAAAAAATGTGAGATTTTAAAATTTATAAAGCTTAGAATTTATAATAACTGTTCGAAATTTGACTAAACATTTTCATTTCTTAAATGAGTGAGATTTTAATTGAAAAAATATATAATATTTAATATTCTTGAAGTAATATTTAACATGAAAGTGGAGTTCTTACCCATAAGCCAGGATATAGAGAACATCCCTCTGGTATATGCATTGCAATTGTTCGCATTGCGCTTTGTCATACCATACGGATCCTACAGGATGGCTGATCCAGTCATCATCGATGCATTCACCTGCCACATGCACATAAATAATTAAACAGCTTTCTATACAATACTAATTATTTTAACTCCCAAGAGATTTCTCTGTTGGAAGTAAAAAATACGCATTTATCATATGATAATGAGTAGAATAGCATTGGATTATGTATATATATATATATGTTATTCGCAAAGATCTCCTCAAAAATAAATATGATAAAGAAACTATTAGTAATAAATAGAACTAAATTTTTCTTCATTGTATTATAAGCAGGAAGATAAATTAAGAAAAGTAAAGTCAAAAATAAAAACTTGAAATCTGTTAACTTCAGATTACTATTTCATATTTCAAAGGGGAGTTCGATTTTGAATAATTAAGAAAAAATAATTAGTTTTGCCAATTCAAATCAATCCCAAGTCAATCTCTCCAAAGGAAGAACAGGACGTAGTCTTTGCATCCTGTTGTTCCTTTGGATAAAACTATATCTTTATTGTTAATTAGAATATTAGAACTCATTTAAAAACAAAGTCAATTTTAAAAGCTATGGTGACTGTCATTTTCCCACATTTCTTTTTTTTTTCCACCTAAAATTTGTTTAAATAAAAAAAAAAAAAAAAAAAAAAAAAATCGAAAAAATTCATTACCGTTTGAATAGAATTTTAAGAGCAACATGTAGCAAATTATATATATATATATATATATATATATATATATATACATAAAATGCGATGGCTTTGCTCTACGCGAACAGGCAACCTCTAATTAACTTTCCGCAATTTCAGGATCTTCCCGCAATTTCAGGAGTGAGTGTGTCAGCCAGAAATTTATCCATCAAGTGTAAATAATAATACCTATTCATATGATAGTTAATAATGGGAAGCATTATATTTGAAATGAATGAGACTACAGTAATAGAAACAGGATGAAAAAGAATATCTATATGTAGTCCAGCTATTTTTTTCTGTCATCTATGCATTTATTCCCCCCTTTTCTCTTCTTTTGTGATGGAGGCAGTTCTTTGTGATGCATGTAGTTTCTTTTCTTTTGTGATGCATTCAACAAATGATATTTTGAAATAATTTTTGTCACACTATTTTTTCTGTTGTCACTTGCAAGAGAAAATTTCTTAAAATTATCCACAGCCGGTTGTCACAAAAAAGATACCAGTTTTGCCGTTACACCGTAAACTGCTCTTGGATATCGTCGTCATCTTTTGAAGAAAAGAAGTCCTGTAAAGAAAACACAGGACTCAGATTTTGAAACAAGAACAAGAAATAGTAAATATACGAAGTAACATAGAGAAATCAGTTTTTTTTTTTTGTTGCGACAGAAAAAAATCAGTAGGAGTCATAAGCCCTACAAAACACGATTTAAAATTTGTAAATATTGAATCGATATGTAGCCCAGAACTATTCTGATTTTCTCTGAGGATGGCACGATATAATGCAGTGAAATCACTAAAAGCGGAATTTGACAGGACCAAAGAAAAAGCTCAGATCTATCATAACTGTCGAAATACAACCAGCGAATACATTTGCCAATACTATATAATTTAGTTTATCAAAACACAGACATCACGAATAGCTTTAATTACGAAATATATGTGTTGTAAATCCGTTCCTAAATTTTAAACCATTCTTTATGAGAATGTTTATACATTTATATTGTTTGAAAGAAGTGCTATTAATTCTAAATGGTTGAAAAATTCTTTTTTTTTTTTTTTTTTTCCTTTCATAAAATTCTTCACTAAGAATAGAGACTCGTCTACATCCTTTCGATTTTCAAGATATTGCTGTTAAGGTTCTACCAACAAATATGAATGACAGAGCTAGGAATGGGCTCCCGATTCAAATTCTTTGGATCCACTTACTGCACGCAGCTACTGTTAAAATTCTATTTGTTGCTACTTGATTTTTTGGAGGTGTCAATTTATTTTTTTATCTTCCTCAGAATTAGTATTGCTCTGCAACCTGTTGTTTCTTTGAATATGTCTGAAAATTCTATGCAGGTTGTAATATTTTCGGCAGTGCTTACTAACTGGATATCGATACAACTATTTCATATCCTAGTTCCTATACAACTAGTTCATATCTTCCGAATTTTGTTTATGAACTTCCGAATCCGTATCGTTTGCACAGAAATCTAAACTCTTTTTGAAGCTATTTTTGATTATTTAAATGTTGCTCAAGACATTCGATAACAGTTTTGCTTCCAATACATTTCATTTAATGTTTACTCCCCATTCATTATCACAGACTTTAGATTAGTTGTCTTCTGCAAGCATGTTTTAAGCACTTAATAGCTCTTTCATACGCGCAGTTACTTTGTTAGCGAACAATTTTAACTTCAAAGATTTTACGATGGGAAGTTCACACAGTGTTGCTCAAATTTTAACGAAAATAAATGTTTTTTTCTTTTAGTTCGTAAAAATGAATCGAAATTCAATACATATGCCTGAAGCAATATTAAAGTTGTAGAGTTTCTCACTTTTATTCTACTAAATTAAATGTTGAGGAAACCAATGAACTGTTAGGCGAATTATCGCTTAATTCAAATAACAGAAATCGTAAACTCAAAAAAAGGTTAATTACCCTTTATTCATTCAAAAATAAGATGAACAGTCGGCCCCTTTAGTCGGGCTTAGAACAAAGACTCCACTCGAGCTTGAACTCAAAAATAAGATATTAGAACTAACTATGTGTAACTAATCGATTTAGCTGAAGCTAACATAATTCTAGCGTAGTTGGCCCTTAGTTTAAAACTAGCGGGAGAACTATCAAAAGGCACGTAATATACGGCCGAGCGTAACAGCAGTTAGAGAGACTTAGCCCAAAGACAAACGCGTGCTACTCAAGATTCCTAGCTCTGTCTCAAGAAGTAAGTTGAACTTTTCTTTAAGGGGACGGTGGGCTTTAAAATAGGTAAAAATCAACCAAAATATTGAATTTGCTTTTTTACCCTTGTAATATTCCATATACATAACTACATAGTATGCAAAAAACAGAGTTCAAATATTCTAATTTTTAAAGAAGTTTATAGCTCTTCACGCAGAACAGTCTCAGACAAAACTCGACGATGCACTAATTGGCGACGCACTAAAAGACTCTCTCTATGCGCTCGACGACCAACTCGGCGCTAGACTTCGAGACACTCGCTCAATGACAGACTATCAGCTCGCTAGACGAGGCATACACACACACTGACTGCGGACCAGCAGGGGTTATATAGCTTCCGGCTTGTGTTCGAGAACATTCTGGGCTAAACCGGTAAGAATTCCTTCCAGAAGGTTCTCCATCCGTCCATGGTACATTGCCAATTCTGTCGCCAAACGGGCGATTTCTCGCCAAATGTGGCACCCTGCCTTCCCTTGCCATTTTATAGCAACCCTAAAACTGCTTTGCGGGGAAGCCATCTTACCCCGCCTGTTCGTAACACTATGAATGCTATACGCGTAGAACAGGAAGAAACAAATTTGTTTTCCCTACTCGTTGCAAAAAAGCGCGATCAACATCGCTTGAACCAAAGCCAAAAAAAGAAGGTTAAATGCTTGGAAAAAATAGAAATAGCAAAAAATATTGTAAAGCATTAAAAGGGTAATGTAAATGTAACAAATAAAGGTAAAACCTATGATGCGAGTGAATTTTAAAAGTTTCATTGGATATAATGCATAAATTGTTTCTATCTCTAATTTCGAATCAAATATAAATTTGCGATATATTATTTTTCTCTTATTTAATATTATGAGATTAAAAATAGTTAAATGATACGAAAATGTCATCTAGTGTCTATATAATCATATTTAAAGCTAATTTGCTGTTTCTCACGGCCATGTATTAAACGTAAGTTTGAAGAAAAACTTTAAATTCGGTTTTTTCAAAACAAATTTTTTCGCAGTTCGCATGTCTTGAAAATGCTCCATGCGTCTCATTTTTAGTTAAAAATGAATGGTATTTGGAAGAAACTATCTTCTTATATGTTACAGTAGACCTGTGTATGCATTTTTGGATATGAGGTTATTAAGAAGGAAGTTTAAACTTGTGATAATGTTTAACAAAAGGTGACATTTTTCCGAAAACTGGGTTTAAATTCACAAAAATCCTTTTGAAAAATTTTTGATCCATCATATTCAATAACGGATACACAAAAACTTTTGTCAAATCTTTTATAACTAACTTAAAGGAAAAACTAGGAAAAAATAATGAAAATTAGCGCGCAAGGAGCATTTTAAATCTTTAATTAAAATAATTAATTATTGTTTTAAAATTTTTAATTTAAAAAAAAATCGAAATTTTCAAAATATATTTTATAAACTGATGTTATAATACGCGTATATATAAATTTCTTGTTGAAAACACAAAAACTTAAAAAACTAATTTTTAAAGTCCACCGTCCCCTTAATACTATTTCTTACTCATTTGCATTCAACATGATTATAATAACTTATTCTGGTAGGGAGTTGTATGTTGAAACGAGGAACAATAGGAAAGGTTAACTAAATTAAAATAACTGTTATAAAAATAAAATATGCCTTACAAAGTCATCCGTGAATTTTTCGGAAAACAATTTTATATTTTTGAAACAAAGTGAGCTGTTATATAGCCTATAGTAACGGTAGTGTAAAATTAATCCCCCCCCAAAAAAAGCACATTTTAGATTGGCATAAATTTTGTAAAGCTGTATCGATTTCGAGGGTAAATGACATAAGTACTCCTTCTTCATAAGGAAAATAATACATTGGGAGGGCGGAGTGAAGGGTCATGCATTAGGTCCAAACGAATACGCGGAGCCAAAAACGAGATGAAAAAATCTGATGTGTACACCACATGGAATATTAAATTATACGCATTTTTTCTTGCGTTTCGTTTACACTTATTGGATTGAATTAAATCTACTTCGCCGACAGTGCATAAGCCACTATAGAATAAATGCATTCTTTAAAATTCACTCTAGTATTTGTTTACCATAGCGATGCTCTGGCTCTAGATTCACTTAACAGTATTATATTTCGTTCATATTATAACTCAGAACCCAC